CCAGGAAACTAGGGTTTGAATACCTGTAAATCACATGTTTTCAGAAGAAGGTGATTGCAAATATCTTCAGAACAAATATTGCCAAGAAAATCCAGTGGAAAGTTTGGCCTTAGGGTCACAGAGGTAAGAAATGAATTGAGGGCACACAACAATAACAATGGCAAGAATCCACGCTGTGCAATTATAGCAATATGATACAGTGAGTTGTCGAAGGCTTTCATGGCAGGAATCACTGGGTTGTTGTAGGTTTTTCGGTTATTCTCTCCTGACGTTTCACCTGCATCTATGGCAGGCATCCTCAGAGGTTGTGAGGTCTCCTGAGGATGCCTGCCATAGATGCAGGTGAAATGTCAGGAGAGAATGCTTCTAAAACATAGCCATACACCCCAAAAAATCTACAACAACCCAGTGATACAGCGAGGTTTTGATATCCATTGAGATTTGGTTCCAGAATCCCTATACACACCAAAATCCACAGATGTTCAAATTCCACTATATATCATGATGCAATAAAATGGTGTTCCTTACTCAAAAGAGCAAACTCAAAGTTTCCTATTCATATGGGTTTTGTTTCAAGCTGTAGATTGGGATTCCCAAACTAAGGTCTGTGGGTCCTCCAAGGTGATTTACCCAATCCCTGTCCTAAACTTTAGACTTAGAGTCACCCTACGTCTGAAACAACTTGAAGGCACACAACAGCAACAATCCTAATTAACTTGACTCTCTCATCAGCCAAAAGCATGTATATAGACTTGTTTCATTGGTTTTTATGAATACGTAAATTGAAATTAAAAAACATAGGAAACAGTGAAATACTGATAAGTTTATGTTGGTTGAAACTGTTCTTCATTTTAAATATGGTATTATTCTTTCGTGTTGTTTTGCACTACAAATAAGATATGTGATGTGTGCATAAGAATTCATTCATTTTTTCCAAACTATAGTCTGGACACTCAGCAGTCTGAGGAATCATGAACTGGCTCTCTGTTTAAAAAGTTTGAGGACCCCTGTTGTAGATGGTTGACAAGCTTTGGGTCCAACCTGCCTTTGAGACCACATCTCTTTTTATGAGCCGGTGTAGGCCTTGAGATCTGCCAAAGAGACCCTTCTCATGGTCCCACCACCTTCACAAGTATGGTTGGTGGGGACAAGATAGAGGGCCTTTTCAGTGGTCACTCACTAGCTCTGGAATGCCCTTCCAAGAGAGATTAGGTTGGCCCCAACTCTCCAAACGGGTTGTTGTAGGTTTTTCCGGGCTATATGGCCATGTTCTGGAGGCAATTTTTCTCCTGACGTTTCGCCTGCATCTATGGCAAGCATCCTCAGAGGTAATGAGGTCTGTTGGAACTAGTAAAAATTGGTTTATATATCTGTGGAATGACCAGGGTGAGACAAAGGACTTTTGTTTGCTGGGGCTAGCTGTGAATGTTTCAGCTGATCACCTTGATTTGCATTCAATGGCTTGGTAGCGCCTGGGGGGAATCTTTTGTTGAGGGTGATTTCATGTGCCTGTTTGTTTCCCCTCTGTTGTTTTTCTGCTGTAATTTTTGAGTTTTTTAATACTGGTAGCCAGTATTACTGGTAGCCACTCTCCAAACCTTTTGGTCTGGCTTAAAGACATGGCTTTTAAATCGTGCCTTTGACCTATTATGGTTATATGTGACAACGACCATTTATTATTTTGTCACTTTAGTTCATTACTTGAAGAAGCCCTGTTTCCTGCAGGTACTACTGCATTATATAAATTTAAATTGTAATCATTTGATGTTGTCCGTTGTTTTGTATTCAGTCAATTTTGTATATTGTTTTTATGCTATGTAATTCTATTTTATGTGTGTCACCTTGGAGTTCTTTTGTGAGCTGCCCAGAGTCCCTTTGGGGATATGGTGGCAGGGTATAAATAAAGATGATGATGATTATGTTTATTATTATTATTATTGTTATTATTATTATTAT